GTTACAGTAGAAGTAAACCTCTTTAGCTTTCTCAAATACCACTTCCTTTTCATATTCTCTGCATTTTATCTATTCTTTATTTATTAGTGCTTCCTGAGTCCCTCTTCAGGTAATCAGAGGTTTTTTTTTTTTTTTTTTCCATCTTGGACAACAGGGATTAAGGATCTGACAATATGTAAATGTACACAAAATTTGAATGTGCCTAATTTTTTTTCCGATTGGACACTTTCAGACTGGTTATACCAAACCACAGATACCCTTCAACATGTAGACCTAAGGAAAAGCTGGAGTAGCTCAAAGGAACTCAGACAATTCATGCTAGAGAAAGACACTTCTACTTCCCCTTGATTTCTGAAATTTTTTAGGTTAGGAAAAAGCAGTCTTAATATAGATATTGGAAAATGAAGGAGCAAGGAATCAACTGACTGATATCAATTTAATAAGTTAATAAATCCAGCTTTTGGATTCTATCAATTGTTACTCTTTCTTCAACTATTTACTGAGCACCTGTTGCGTGATGGAAGATACAAAGGTGAAAGCAACACTGTCCCTGCTTTCAAAATATCATATATATGATATTTTAATTTAAAATTATTTATATAGGTGTGTGTGTGTGTATGTATATGACATTGAGTAACTTGATGAATATCAATAAAGCAAACAACTTCTGCTCCTACAAAGATGGAGTAATAGAAATTGGACTTGAACCCCTACCTTAAAAAACTAAACACTGGGAAAAATATACAAAACAGCAGTTTTCAGACATTGGACAACAGGTAGCATAAAATGTGGTCCCTGGGAGAAGAGAAACAATTTCTCCACCTTATGACCTGGAAGCAATTTCCAGAGTGCAAAACTAAGAAGCTAGATCTCAATAATAGACCCCCAAAAGGAGCATAACTTTAGTTTTAAAAAATCCTGAAAGTGAAGATGGGCATTAAGAGATCAAAAGAGGAAAGAGCAGTCTCTGACTGACTACAGCTGGGAACTTATATTATTCTAACAGCTATGGCTTAGTATTAAGCAGCTGAAGATAAATATTTCACATGACACAAATATTAGACATCAGTCTGCAACCATGATGGAGTGAGAAAAAAATATTTAAGTACTAAATTTAAGTACTAAATGTTAGAAGTTTAGTTATTAAAAATTTTGGCAGAAAGGGAATCCAAGGAGTGTTAGGCAGTCTCACTGAGTTAAGAAGACAGAGATTGGAGTTCAGGGAGGACAAAGCAGATTTCTTTTTTTTTTCTGGTGAGGAAGAGTAGCCTTGAGCTAACATTGGTTGCCAATCCTCCTCTTTTTGCTGAGGAGGATTGGCCCTAGGCTAACATCCATGCCCATCTTCCTCTACTTTATTTGTGGGATGGTGCCACAGCATGGCTTGATAAGAGGTGCGTAGGTCCATGCCTGAGATCCGAACCCATGAACCCCAGGCTGCCAAAGCAGAGCATGCCAACTTAACCACTACATCACTGGGCTGTCCCAAAGGGGCTATTTTAAAGACATACAACAAGAGAGGAATTAGCACACAGAGAAAACTCTATGTATCTGCAAAGGAATTCCATCAAGTCTTTGGCAGAGTACTGATATGAACATCTATAAGAAGAAACTACCTCTTACAGAACATGGGGAAAGAACTACTGGAAACAATAAACCAAACAGTTCCTAGAGCTCAGACAGGGAGAGTGTGTGTTCTCAGCAGCCAAAGTAGAAATACTTTGTAGTACATGGGACATAAGGTAGAATCCTTAGAATGGTATTACCTTAATAGTGGAAAAAAAATCAGCACTAGCCTAAAGGCTGCTCTGATGCACCTTCAAAAGCTTAAAAGAAGGCTTGAAAGAATTGGACTGATTTTAAGTGAAACATTGTCACACCAGAACAACATACAAACTGACTTAAAATAATACAACAAAATCTAGTAGCAAAACATGTAAAATCTACAATTTTTGACATCTAATTAAAAGATGATAGATATTCAAAGATGTAGGAGAAATATAATCGTAAGCAGGAGAAAAATTATTCAATAGAAATAGATTCAGAAATGACAGAGATGAAAGAGTTAGTAGAAAAGGACACTGAAATGATCATTATAAATATATTCTATATGATGAGGAAGGTAGAGGAAAATATGAGCATGGTGGGGAGATATATGGAAGATGTAAAAAAGACCTAAGTATAA